CACCAAGACTTCACCAACACCCAATGTACCAACAAAGAACTGCTGTGGACAGTGTGTACATTCTTCACTGTTGCCGCAGGCAGAGGGGCATATGCCCAAAATGCCACCGGATCTGAAAGATGATGATGATGATGAAGGTAATATGATCGGTAATAAATGTCCCAAAGGTCAGATCAGTGGCAATGGTGAGCATCTTAAATCTTGCTCCTGGTGTGTCCAGCTTCCTCTTCAAAACCGCCCCCCCCCAACTCCACATGTTTTATATCAATTGAGTGAAAAAGGGTTGTCACGCAGTTACCTTCTTGTGTAGCGTCTGAACTCCGGCAAAGAGTTTGATTTTTTTCCTCCAGAAAGAAAAGAATTTGTTTTAAAAATGTGACTGGTTTTTTTTTTAAATAAATTTTTAAAATATTTGTTATGGGGCTGAAGACCACACAGAACTGGGTCATGGGCCGTACTGTCACTTTGGGCATGTGTGCGTACGTGAGTCTTCTCCGTAGCCTCGTTCAGGAAGGTATTGCTATTTTCGTTAAACTGCAACTGTTGTTTCCCATCAAGTCTTAGTTATAAAATAAATGACCGTATCTTCTCTGTCGACGGGTTTTTGTACAACGTCATCTCTACTCCGGGGTCTGCCAACTGCCTGCTCCTATCAGCGGGTTAATTTCTTGCCACAAACGGTTGACGAAGGCAATGAACTCTCACTACGACATAGGGCAGAATATTTTGTTGGATATTACAGAAAATGAGAAGTTAATCTTTTCTTTTTTTTTTTTTTTGATAACACTTGGACCTACCAGGTGTTTTCTCAAAATACCCGGACCCGGTGTCAAAAAACAACAACAACAAAACAACAATTGCATCTCACAAGCAGATCGAAAATTAGTCTTTTTCAATTTGATTTACATATTTATTTTGTTATAAAATGTCCTTCCTGCCTTTGTTGATAATCTAAAAGACCGTTTAATTTTAATGAGTTGATTTAAATAAGCGAAAGCTGCAAATTTATCATCAGCCCCCCCCCCCCCCCCCCCCCCCATAACGGAAATTCATCTCATTTTTAAAGTTTTACCATTCTTTTGCAAGACATGTGTATGTGTTTGAAGATGAGTTAGAAACCAAACGTAGCATATCAGTCGTTGTTATTTTAAAGACTCATTAAAACATGCCCTTGCACCGTCAACCATTCACCCCCCTCCTCCCACACACACAAACTCATTCAAATATTGACCCAACTCAAACAGACATAAAAACAATATCTTCCGATTGCGGTGAACGGCAAACTGATCGAGCTGTTTATGAGTCTGGGATCATTGAATCTATTTCACCCTGCTCACACACAGATGAACACTAGGAAAGCAGCATAGATTGACTGGGTTCCTCACAAGAAAAAAAACCAGGACGACTACAGTTACCTCCACGTACCTTAAAGAAAAAGATTCCATAATGGGGTAAATGTGTTAACAGCTTAAAAAAGAAAAAAGAAAGAAAGAGAACAAGCCTTGCTCCAATGTATGGATATTTAAACGAATTTGTGAGATTTTTTTCCTCACCTAACCAGTAATATGATGCGCAAACGTGGCATCAATATGATAATTACCTTGAAAGGAATTCACATAGGCAATTTCAGTGGAAAGTAACCCATAATGGAGGCTATGCCATAGACAGCAGATTCTTGTGACAAAGACGCGTACTGAACACTGTCCCCTCAACAGAGACTTCAATAGCTTCAACCATAACAGGAATCCTACCTGCCGGCATTGCAGCCTAGTCCCGGAAACTCTTAGCGTATCTGTTGACCGAATGCTCGTAACTTGCTTTTTCGTGGGGGGGGGGGAGGCCAGGACGGCGGGAGAAAATATACCGCACATCTCAGCAGACGAAGCTGGTTGCCAATGTACTGGCCGGGGGTCATAAGAGAGTAATCTCAGACCCTCAACAGAATGTGTGTGTTAGCTACTTAGTAAAAAGTATCTGATAACTGATTAAAATAACTTCACTTTGACCTAAAAGTCTAAAAAAAACAACAACACATTTCTAAGTTCATTGGTTAAAAGTACAATTTCCCAGACTCCCCTTCTGTCCTCCCCCCCCCTCTCTTGTCCATTGTGGTACTTTTATAATAGAAACACTCATTTAAACCAGTGTAGCGGAGGTTGGTAGTCATCGAAGCCCTGTACAGATCAATACATCGATCGTTATTGAGAGAGTTTGTTTTTGTCCAACACGTACCGGCCCGGATAAACAGAGCGGCAAATAAGCAAACAGCGAACTAATCTTGACACGATGAGACGATGTCACCATGAATCATGTTTCAGTTGTTGACAAACTGCATATAAGAGAACTCCGGATGAGAGTCGCAGCAGACGTGCAAATACGGTAACGCTAGGTGCATTACGTCACTCCTAAGCGTTCCAGGTCGACTTAATCCCCCAGCGGGGTTCTGTGTGGGGCAAAGCGTTGGAATGCAAATTTTTAGTCAGCGATTCTAAAAAAAAGTTCGTCCGCGTAAATCTAAAGCAGATTTCCGATAATCGTATGATTAGCTTCAAAATCATGGGCCCCAGTCATGGTCATTCCACTGCTGGTCATCCACTGCATCCTGTTCTGTTTCCAGTCGTCTTCACTAAGTCTTGACACAGAACAAGTAGGCAAAGACGGAGAGAGTGAGGCTTCGCATGCCAAGGACGAATAATAATAAAAAGAATACCACATGGGCGGCACACATAATCAGACGATTAAGTCGTACTACAAGAGCCGCCAACATAATTAAAACATTTATTTACCAGGGATTTTAGCCGGGTGCAATTTAGTTTTTACTTGGGGTCCGGGTACTTTGAGAAGTAGGCCTACAAGCTGTCCTACACCCTACCTGTCAGCCTTTAAACAGTTAGTCTACAAGCTGTCCTATACCCTACCTGTCAGCCTTTAAATAGTTAGCCTACAAGCTGTCCTACACCCTACCTGTCAGCCTTTAAACAGTTAGTCTACAAGATGTCCTACACCCTACCTGTCAGCCTTTAAACAGTTAGCCTACAAGCTGTCCTACACCCTACCTGGCAGTCTTTAAACCATAGGCCTAAACCCGAACTGCCAGCATTTAAACAATACTCAGACAATCCTACAGACATTCCTACAGAGTGTCCTAGAGAGAGTCCTACACCATACCCGTGGCTCTGTATAGATTAATATAACAGTCGCCTCCCTCTGAAGAAAAAAAACCCCGAGTTCAGACGTCACGCATGGCAGCCTTTCTTTCCTACTCATTACTATTAATTTCAGACATGCGGAGTTGGGGGCGTGGGGCGGTTTCGAAAAAGAAGCAGGACACACCAGAAGCAAAATATATCTACAAGAGACATTGGCCATAGGCATAGTCAAGAGACATTGGCCATAGACATAGTCAAGAGACATTGGCCATAGACATAGTCAAAACATTAATTCATACCAGACGGACCACCAAAAAAATGTGTAGGATTACGTTATACCTCATAGGCCGTAGACACAATAATAGAATTGTGCTATGCGTCATGACACACCTTGCTGTATGGCTTAGTAATCATGGTGGGATTATCCAAGGGCAGGACCGTAATCCTCCATGGGCAAGGCGCGTAATTCACAAAAAGGTTCCAAAGGAGTCCATACGTGCCGTCATAGATTGATATGGTTCCCTTCGTTGGCAGGGTTTTGGACCCTAGTGAGCTTGAGCTCGTCCTGCTATTTTTTACTCGTCTTTAATCGGGGCAGCGCACATGATTTTGACAGGGCATGTTTTCGAGGCTGACAGGACATAGAATTCAACGGCATTCCTCTCCCCGAATACAAAAAAAACAACGTCATACCCTCCTCCAGTGGATGACGTCATTCAAAGAGCCTTGACCTCTACACGTGTTTATAACCGATAATCTAACAGACAATTTAACCCGTGTAATATCAACAAGCAGAGCTACCCAACATCATCAAATATTCATTTTAATGCAAATAAATCGAAGCGCTCGATGAGCAGAATCAGATAAAAGACTTTATGGGCTTGTAGGAGAAAAGAAATGAACCCAACTCGTTTTACATTTGGCACATTTAAAGTGTTTGTGTTGTAGGTGAAGGAGGAGGGGGGTGGTCCATGGCCATATTTTAAGTGACTCACGCATGTGAATATTTTAATGTGCAAAGTTATCTTCATTAAGATTTCACAGCGTTTTGATTAGTTGAATGAGTGGATTGTATACTTCAGGTGAAATTAGGGATTTGTAGACAAAGCGAATAACTGTTTTGCACTTCAGCTGAAGAGGCAATGCACTGCACGTGCCGTGGGTGCCGCTTGCAACGGTGGGGAGTGGGGGGGGGACGAAATCGGCAGTCCGGACAAAAAAATTTGATCTGAATGTTTAAAATTAGTTTTGGATCTAAAGAACACACATTATGTCTAGGCGTATCTATGTTTGGTGTTTTCTTCTAAGTTTTTATCTCAAGCTTCACATGGACGTAGTTCTTGTAGAGGGTGCCTTATGCCCCCCCCCCCGGTATGCCTCTGGGTGAATGAGTGACTTCTACTTCAGGTTATTGATAATGTTTTTACTCGTTTCATAATAGTGTCACATTTCCCATCATTTCCCAGGATTTTCAATTTCCCAGCATTGTGCAGCATTTCCCAACATTAAACAGCATTTTTCAACATTTCCCAACATTTCTCAACATTTCACAACATTTTCCAAAATTTCCCATTTCACAACATTTCCTAACATTTCTCAACATATCCCAACATTTCCCACAATTCTCATTTTTTTATAATAAATATCAACATTTCCCACCACAGATTTACGTCTTGGTCCATAAACGTAATGAACACGTGAGCGGTAACGGAATCTTTAAAAGAAAGATAATTCATGTGAATACAAGAGTCAGGTTGACATGAGTTACTTGGTTCTTGAAACCAAGGTCACCCCTGGCTTGTTTATTTCCCCTTGAAATGCCTGCTACGACAACGCTATAAATAGGACAGAAATCCCATGAAGCCGGCATAGGTACTTAAGTTTTGCTCACACGGTCACATCGCCGCAATCATGCTTGGTTTAAGGTAGGCAAACGTACTCTAATTGTTGATTAAATGAATTTCAAAAATGTTTGGAAATTTCTAAGTCATCTTTAATGGCAGATTTCAATAAATATGTAAAACTGATGTCACTAATCATGTAAAACTGATTCTTTTTATTTTTTTAAATATTTCTTTTTACTAGCTTTGTGTTATTACACATAACATGTATTGAGTTCGCGCCATTCTCTCTCCCTATTTTAAAAACAAAAATCAGTGCTTCCAAAACTTGCTACCTGTACGAATTAACAAGGACTCATATATTGGCAGCGATGATCTATGTCCAATTTGTCGATTCTGTTGTTTTTTTTTTTATCAGAGCAGTAACTTACTCAAGGTCATGAGTCCACCCTGAGAAGCACTGATCTAGATATTTGCTTAAGCTTTTTAAGNACATAACATGTATTGAGTTCGCGCCATTCTCTCTCCCTATTTTAAAAACAAAAATCAGTGCTTCCAAAACTTGCTACCTGTACGAATTAACAAGGACTCATATATTGGCAGCGATGATCTATGTCCAATTTGTCGATTCTGTTGTTTTTTTTTTTATCAGAGCAGTAACTTACTCAAGGTCATGAGTCCACCCTGAGAAGCACTGATCTAGATATTTGCTTAAGCTTTTTAAGGGAATCTTCCGTTTGTGAGCAAGAAATCGGAAAACTTTAGTGTAGGGATTTTCAAAAATGTGTTTTTATGATTCAAAAGAAGTAACCACCCACCTTGTCTGTGTCTTATGAGTAGAACATAAAGAAGCTAAAAGAAAGGTATCTCTGACAGTTATGTTATATCTTGAGGGGGATATGGAAAATGAAGATTAGTTAAGGTTAGATAAGATAATGTTGTGTAGAAAGGGAAAAGAGAGAGAGAGAGAGAGGGGGGAGGAGAGAGCGAGAACCCGAGAGAGAGAGAGATAAATACGATAGATAGATTGACATAAAGAGATATGGGTAGATAATATTCATACGATAGATAGACATACAGAATGACAGATGGACAGACAGACGGATAGAGAGATACTAGATAGATAGATGATAGTCAGATTGATACATAGATCGATATATAGTATATTATATATATATATAAAGAGAGAGAGAGAGAGATAGATAGATAGATAGATAGTTATATAGATAGATATATAGATATATAGATGGGTAGACAGATATTCAGCTATATAGATAGATAGATAAATATGTAGATGGATGGATGGATGTGGTTGTGGAAAGATGGATGGGTGGATGGTGTTAGGTACATTAAATGGTTTTCTAAATTTAACCTATTTTAAGATTTGGCTTTGTAGATGAACACTACCTACGAACACCAGTATTCAAATGAAAACGATACCAAAGCTAGTGATATGAACAGTATTCGATTTAATTATACTATTAAATTATACTATTAAATGTATATAAAAATACAGAGTAACATCTTATAGGGCTTCTATTGATATGTCTCATGCCTAGGAAAATTAGCGAAAATCTCTTTCGACTAGGAAAGCTGCCCGGCCTATCTATAGGGAGTGTGTTAGAACCCTCCAGACAAAAAAAAAATTCTAGAACTTGCAGCACCAGATAGCATTCTTATGAACAAATTAGAACGTACTGGAACATAAACAACCTTTTCCCAATCAAGGGAGGGGTATGGGGTTGGTACAACGCTTCAAATTTAATCGTTGATGTCAATAAAAAAAAATATTTGGGGGGTGTGTTTTACACTTAAGCTCTACCTTGAAGTAAAATTAGGTCAAGACACACGCTATAACAGATGGATTGATAGATTGATGGATAGATCAATATATGGATTGATAGATTAAAACTTATATGGAGACACGCTACATCATTCTTCTCAAGTCAACACAATTCTTTACAGTTTTTAAAATCTAATAACCGTTATCTATACACCCACTATCTCATTCGTCTTTAACACAATTAACACCCTAACCTATTGGCACCCGCTATCTCATTCGTCTTTAACACAATTAACACCCTAACCTATTGGCATTTTTGTGTTTGTTAAAGACGCCAAATGACTTGGGATATCACCGCCGCCACGACCACATCGGTCCTTATGATGCACCTGGCGGTGGTAGGGGGTGCCACCAACCTGTTCTACCCTGACTCAAGTCCAACGTATCAGAACAGAGCTTACGGGTCGATCCGCTACAACAACAGCCAGTACCTCCCCACCTGTGGATGGAAGCTGATCATGACCACCAATTACCCCTTTTAATCCTTTCTTTTTTTTTTTTTTTTTGTTTAAATTTGTACTCCAAAAAAAAATGACACCCGAAAGTTTAAACAGTTTTTACGTTTTTGATACACAATTCTCAAAACATTGACTAAAACTCTTACGGGGATAAAACTACTTACTTACTGTAGTTCTTATTTTATTAACAAACTCATGCGATTTACAAGCAAAATAAACTCGCATTACTACAAATTTTAAATCTACTTTCCGTTACAGCTGAGCCTGAAAATTTAATATGAAAAAAAAAAAGAAGCTAAATTTCATTACGGTCGTCTGATTAATGGTTATGTTTGAATGGCCTTTAGGGAGGGTAGTGTCTTGAAACATTATATTAATAAATGATGTCTCTTGGGTGAAGGGTAGGTTCAAGTGTATTATATATAACTTCCACAGCAAAGTACACAACACTTCATGATATAATAATTTTGTTAGCTTTGCCGTGGGTCAGTTGCTGAGATTGAATTAAAACAATCACATTTCAATTCTTACAAAATAAAATTTTGATCTTTTTGATAGAGGAATTTTAATATTATTTTTTTTTTCTAACCAACCTTAAAATTTTTGTTTAGGTTTGGGACGCAACAGCTGAAAGAGTCGACAACTACACATACATCCTCACCAACGTAGGATACGCTGCTGACCCCACAAACCGAGTCAGCTCTTTGGTCTTAATAGGACTCTATGGGTGAGCCAGTATTTCTCAATTGGGAATTTCAAAGAGCAGGGTCAAAGGTCATGCCCATGACTACGCTCTCCTCTGCAGAATCTAGTTTGAATTTTTTTTTTTTTTTTAAATTTAACATTAATCTGATATGTAATGTTCCTAAATTTTTCTTCTTCATTTTTTTGTATCAGTCAGCTCTAAAGGTGATAAAATTCATATTTAAAACAGCACACGTCTTCTTTTGATCAGCACAGAGTAATTTCATTGAAACTAAGAAAATAAGACATTCAATTAAAAATGGATTTAGATTAAACACCGACTCCTACATTGCATTTCCGTATATACATTTATTATTAAATAGCTACAGCCTAAAATGAATTTCCCAATTCTTTGATTACATTATTTTATTTCTAAAAAGTTCTATTTAAAATTTAAAGAATACTTTGACCCTGCAGTTCGAAAGAAACTTTTTTTTGGTGTAAGTTTAAAAAAAAAATATATTAAAAATTACCCTTTATATTAAAAATGCAAATTTTGAACAAGAAATATATTTTTGGACGTCAAAGGAAAATTAAATTCCAGAATTTCCAGAAATAAGTAAATGGCTTTAAAAAAATAAATATCTTAACCAATGTGTAATTTTATATTTGCTAAACAATATCGGGACCTGGAGATAATTATTATCAATTATTTAATTAATTATTCAATTTAGGGTAGGCCCTAACCATTTCATATGAGTTTTCTAAAGTTTGCAATTTTAAATAATAATCAGAAGTTATTTGTAGGCCTACTCATTCTTTGAGGTCGCCACCACTTATCCAACAGAAAATGTAATACTAGGCTACTTTCCATTGAAGAGAAGAAATGATCTCAGCTTTAAAAAAAAAAAAAGATAATATAATATTCGAATAATATTTAAAGTTAAAGTAGTTTTTTTTTTTAAAGCTGAAATGGTCATCTACGCATGATATCAGAGTTTTACTACAAGTTGTTAGATATTTAAATGGCTTTTTAAAATCCAATCTGTCCTAGGAACACCATGCCGACTGTCATCATAAACTGGTACTGTGTGTGTGATAAGACAACCGGAGGCGCTTGTCAGGTGAGCAAAAACATATGCAGCCAAATTAATTAACATAATGAATATTTTTGTAACATTAATAGAGCCGCCGCCTCACACTTGTGGCGAAACAAAGCATTGTCCGTCAAGATAGTTTCTATTCAATATTCTAACAATATAGTTTCTCACCCCGATTATAACACTATAGTTTCTTATCAATAATATATTAATATAGTTTCGTATCCACATTTAACACTATAGTTTCTCATCCATATCCGGGCTAAGTGGCAACAAATTTTTAAAAAATATCAGACTTTGTCTGGTCAATTTAGAGCGAAACTGGCCATTTCCCAATTTCGCCGACAATTTCCCGATATTGGGTTTTGGCAGTGACACATTTACACATACAGGGTGGCCCAAAATATGTGATGACGAAAAGTCGTTGAGAAGCGTGGCGATTGGGTGAGGGAGACACAGATTGAACATGTTTTCTGATTAGCGTAAGGAGGATAAGCTGGCTCCATCGACAGCTAATTCCGTCTCTCCACGCAGCCGGATAACCTGAGGGAACCTCGTGGTGTGGCGGATGACGCTGCTTGGCACCGGCAGCTGGAGTTGTCGGAATTTTCACGGTGTCAATGTCATACCGCTTACGTGACTTTTGAAAGGGATTGAGATCCAGTCCCCAGGCCTGGGATTGAATCAGTGTAGACCACTCGGTCGCCCACATTTTTAGTAGCTTTACCACCCCGTGAGACGATGGTGTAGCTAATCTCGGCGAGTAAGTCTTGTTCTCTATATAAATAGATCTATACTAAAAAATGGTTTGCTATTTCTTCAATATGATTTTAGATGTTAACTTTTTTTTTCTTCCTAGAAAGTCACATACGAGGCAGTGGCTCCCCAAAATACAGCCAGTTCCCCAATACCTTGCCCCGTGGTGAGCACCCTACCACCAACCACAGCAACAACAACAACAACAACACCAGCTACAACAACGACAACGGCAAGGAGACAGACTCCTTCAATTCCATTATTGTCTCTGCTAGACATTCAATTATCCTCCAAGCCAAACGGTGAGTAAAAAAATGAGTTGTATGGCAAGGAAGTAAATTTGAGAACGGGCCAAGCCCTGGTGGACGTGCAGACTATTTAAACTGACGAGGCAAACGTGATGGCATGACAATAATGACAGATCTCAGAACATGGATAATAAAAGATCGCAGTATGACAATAATGAAAAATCTTAGTACACTACCACTAAAAGATCTAAGAGTATGACATTTATGAAAGTTCTTAGTATGACAATAATGAAAGAGCTAAGTACGCTAATGATGAAATATTTTAATGCGACAATAATGAAATAATTACATCGAGTCATTTAAAAATCTCATTTTTTTACACTGTATTACAAAATGTTACTAGATTTATGCAAACTAAAGTTTTTTGCGATATTCCTACAAGACATTAAAATTTCCGCTATGCTAGCTCACATGTTGTCTAAAAATGTCATCTTTATTAAACTTAAATATACATATATATATATATATATATATATATATATATATATATACGGTACCTCGATGTCCTTGTACCATAAAATTTAAAAAAAATATGATCTTCATGTACATCTCTATGTCCATTCCTCTAAAACTAAAAAAAAATATAATTTTGTTTTCCGATTGCTAATATCAAAGGATTTCATTCTCAGACAACAACAAAAAAATTATTGTACAAACGATTAAAAAATCATTTTATCAGCTGACGTATTCTAGTAGTTAAAAATAAGTATGAACGAAATAAAACTAAAGTGAAACCAAATCGCTCCTTCATTTCGTAACATTTTTCCAGGAAGCAGGATCGCTCTCAAGAGGTTTGGCGCCTCGTGCTACATGGGGCCTCTGTATAAGCCCGAGCTCCAGGTCGCCCATTTCATCGACTGCTGCTCCGTCTGCTGCGCCTACACTTCCTGTCTCGGGGTCAACTTCCTCCCGGCGAGCCAAGAGTGTGACCTGGTGTTTGAGAACGTGACGGCAACGTCATCTCCACTTTTAAGCACAATGGCGGACTGCTCTTTTTGGAAGGTCATCTACAGGTCATAGCAAGTTAAAGTTGTTTGTGTGGGTTTGGATTGGGGGGGGGGTGTAAATAGTATGTCAATGACTGTAGCTGCATTTGTTTCTAAGCGAGTGTGTTTGGGTCGTGACTTTGTTCAATTTGTTCAATTTGTTCAATTTGTACATATAAATAATACATACATTTCCTGATGCCATGTATATGAAGACTGTATTGGCAATGATAATTTTATTTTATTGATTGCTTCTTCATGTAACTCTTCATTTGGGTGGGGGGGTGGGGTGTAAATAGCATGTCAATGACTGTAGCTGCATTTGTTTCAAAGTGAGTGTGTTTGGGTCGTGACTTTGTTCAATTTGTACATAGAAATAATACATACATTTCCCGATGCCATGTTTATGTAGACTGTATTGGCGATGCTAATTTTATTTTATTGATTGCTTCTTCATATAACTCTTCATTGCCCGTCCTGTGTAGTATACAGTCATAATATCTAAAGCTTTTACGGGACTAAATCCATGTTTGAAACATCGGTTTAAAGACACATCCTGTGTCGTTGGGAGATTTTTAGTAGTAATATCCACTTGTTTAAAGCTTTACTCAGACTTTAGTCTTATGCACGAACGCAAGATTGTCGCTAAAATCTTTTTTCTCACCATCATGAGACGCTCCTTGAAAATATTTATTAAAGTAGAGCAAGCCTCCCAACCCCCAGTGAATGATACTCTCATAAAGTAACCATTGCAATCAGTGAAATATCCTCATCACCACCGGGCACAGAAACATTGCAAATCCCCTCTACATCTATAGGAGCCAAAATGATAAATAAATTGATCGTGGGGCCTTACTATATAGAAGAAGAAGAAGATATATGAAAGAGGAAGCTTGAAATAGAAAGACGGGACAATCAAAGAAGTGAGTGTAAATTGGTGTACATTGGTGTACGTGCTGTTCATAACTCATTGCTTGTAAAATAAAATAATTTAAAAAAAATTGTAATACATGTTTCTTGTGGCAAACGCGTCTATGTCATGTTTGTTCTGCTCGTTTCTAAAGAGTTTCCGGCCTCAAGGTCAAGGCTGATAGAGTAAAATAAGATGACCCCTACCATCGTTTCTCTAAAGGCGGTTTGGGTTTTATTTTCGAGTCTTCACAAAAAAAAAATTGCAGAAAAGGATGTTTCTTTACCAAACGCCACTTTGACCTCGTCAATGACACTTTCAAGGTTTTGGTGTCAATGACCCTCGAAAACAAACCACTGGTATTTATCAGAGACATACTTTTTTTTGGTTAAGTTTTTTTTTCGTTAGTTCATTCCATGATTACTCACACAGACGTTCTGAACCTGTGTGTCTTCACCTAGGTCATGCTATTTGTATTTGATTCAAGAGTTCACTATGAATATTAGTGTTACACAAATTTACAGTAAAAATTGTTAGAATATTATTGAAACTTCAATAATGATACTGACAGCAATCGATTACAATTTTTGCGCCGATAGCTCAAATTATTCTTCACATTGTTCAGCAAATCAAATGATCAATTCCAGTGATTGTTAAAAAAAAAAAGAGTCTTATTAGATCGAGGCATACAATTGTTTTTAGTTTTAACTCTTCAAATTCAAACTTTGCTCAGTGGTTGAATGGCTGGCTGTGCACTCAATGATGTATCTAGTCTGAACCCGTGGGCTTGGAGTCCAATGCTCAACTTAACCCAGACAAGCAGCAACTACGAGGACTATGGAAACAAGTTATTTTTCTCCTAACAAAAATATAAAGTTTTCTTGTGGCTTCCTCAAAGGGTAAAAAAAAAAATCCCTCCTTGTCACCTGGAGAAATTAATAATGCCGACAGAATCCTTCCCCCCCCCCCCCAAATCCTACGCAGGTTCTTTCCCCACGTGTAGATGCCCCTCCCCCTGCCCTGCACAGGATAAATTATTTTTTAAAGGCATTCAACCGTAAAATTTTCTCTTTATTAGATGGCACCTGTAATATTAGATTTTGTACTAATCTAAATTGAAGATTGAAGTTTTATTTTACGAACGTCCTGTCTACAGGATAAATTATTTTTTAAAGGCATTCAACCGTAAAATTTTCTCTTTATTAGATGGCACCTGTAATATTAGATTTTGTACTAATCTAAATTGAAGATTGAAGTTTTATTTTACGAACGTCCTGTCACGAAACAAATGATACTTTTTCTGTTACAAACGAATGTTACTTGCATGCTGTGTCGAAGAATTTTAGTAAATATTTAATAAAATGAGTTTAAAGACAATCCTTTTAGCAAAATGCCGATATAGGAGAGGGAAGAGACCAGTTTTAAGGGGAAATCGCATGAAACCTTTATCAAATCACGAATGTCGGTTAAATTAAAAAAATACCGTTTTCGTTTTATTAACAAGTATACAATTATAAGATAATCATAGATAAGACCACCTTGGTTTATTTAACAAGTATGACCATTGTAATATAATCATAGTTTGGTTGGTCATTAATTCAGTTCAAATGCGGGCTACGCTAAGAAAGGAAATGATGACATTGCGCCACCATCATATTTGGAAGAGCGTAGCAGGACCGATGGACATGATATCTGGTCCATTGTACACCGGTTTAAGAGTAATCTCGGGTGAATGCATTGTCTCGCCTCACCCTAGTTACGCCCCTGAAGCTTAAATAAATAATGTTTTGGGGACCTAGAAAGAGATGTTATCCTAAACTGTTAGTTTAATGTGAGACGAAGTGACTGGCTGGCTGTGTTGTGATGCAACCCCCAAGGGTTGAGGGATACCGAAGAAAACCTTTACAGACAAATCCGGCGATGAAGGCGGAACAATACGGTTCTCCTTGAAAAAGCAAGAACTGGTCCTGCCTGCGATATTCCTGGTGCCAGCCGTGCCGACCCCCCCCCCACCCCCCTTGACGTTCCTCTTGGGTTTACCAGCTGACCGGAAGATGTGATCGACTGGGAAATGGATGTTTAATGTTTAATCGTTTCCACATCTTGAAATGAATATCTGACAGGACCTTCTCTTATCAGAAAACAAATAATTTGAAAATTTGAGCCAACAAAGTATATGAGTTAGTGAGGTTAGTTCTTTTTAAAAAAACAAAATTTAAAAATTAGAACAAAAGTCTAGAAACGCTTTTATGTGTAATTTTTACTCCGAGAACAGCATTGTTGAATCCTTCGAATCAATTCAGTCCATTGAATATGATACTATAGTTGCTGCATTGCTTTCCGCTAGGGATGCTTTCATCATTCTTTGTTCGACAAATCGGTTATCGGTTTTAAGAATTCAACGTTGACCGATTATCGTTTTCTTTACAACGCATTCCTAGCTGTTATTGATAAAGAAAAGGGTCAGATTGACATAAGATCGAAACCAACAGACAATACCCTTTTTTTTTGCTTTTGGACAGTCAAAGCAACTCTCATTTTGATTCAGTTTGGTACCAGCACTTGACCTAGTTGATTTCCAGTGACCAAACGGTGATGATGCGATTTACACTAAAGAACACTTGTTAATTGATATATACTTCTTCTTCTTCTTTATTTTGAGGGCCCACGATCAATGAATATATGCCTCTAGCCATGGGCGCCCGCACGGGGGGGGGGGGGGGG